GGTGGGGGAGCAAGGGAGATGAGTCAGAGGGGTGCCCTGGGGGTGGGAATGGGGGGGCCGGGCGGCATGGCGCGGAGACTCGGCACACGGGGACGGCTGTGACTGCGCCGAAGGCCCCTGCCTGATGGAAGGTGTGCGCGTGTGACGTGGGGACCGGCCCTCCTGGCGCCCGGTTCATGGTTTTAATTAATTAATTTGTGAATAAGGTTCAGAAATCCTCCTTATAAACGTATAAAAGTATCGCCCAGACGTTTCTGGCCGTGAGCCCGAGGCGCCCAGCGCCGGGTGTGGCAGAGGCCGTTGGCTCTAAGGCTTGGTCCTGCCCTCTGCAGAAGCGTTTGGGGTCAGCCGGCTCTGCCACCAGCGTGCTGTCCCTTCAGGTCTGGGGTCAGGCCCTTGGGGGTCCCAGGGGACACGCAGCCACGCGCCTGGCCCCCGCCCGCAGTGGAAGTCGGGTGATTTGTCCTCACAGGGGACCTCACGTGACAACACCGGAACCTGACTCACAACGGGACTGTGGCCAGTGGAAGGTCGCCCCGTCGGAGGGTGAACCGCAGCCTCCTCCTCGCGGCTCTGGTGGCCAGGGGGAGGGGGCCGTCTCCAGGGTCTGGGCTTGAGCGACCAGGAGGAGGGTCGCTGTCGTGGGAGGCACAGGTGACCAGAGGGGGACTGGCTCGGGCAGGGCGAGCGGCAGGTGCATCCTTGGACACGCTGAGGTGCAGCGCCCAGTGGACACCGAGTCGGCGGTCGGGGCAGCGCTGTGGGCTGGACGGTGACCGGGGGAGGTGGCCGTGGGCAGAAGGACACAGTGAGCCTTCCGTGCCCTCCGTGCGCAGAGTCCCGCGGGGAAGGCAGGTGGCTGGGTGACAGGCATGTGGGGACAGAGGGCAGGAGCCCTGGGTGGAGGGGCACCCGGTGCCTGCGCGGCCGGACGCTCCTCTCCGCGGCCACCTGGGTGGACACCACGCCGCCCTGTCACCGCCGTCGCGTGCGGCCTTCAGTGGCCGCGGGCCGGGCGGCCGCCTCGTGTGCCGGTCCGGGCCACTTACCTTCCCACACCTTTGTCTCCCCAGGTGTTGCTGTCGGGACTTATCGGCGTCGTCTCCTGGAAGAGGCCCCTGTCCCTCGTGGTAAGTGGCACCCGGCCCCGCGGTGGCCTTGGAGCAGGGCTGCGCCCTCGGCCGTGTGAGCGCCCAGGGGCCACGGCAAAGAGGAGCCGGCTTCTTGGCGGGAGGGGAGCAGATCTTTCCAGAAGGGTGGGCGCTCGCGGCCGCCGCTGGGCACCTCGCCCGTCCCCTCCCGTGAGTGACCGCTGCGTCCTCCTTCTCTTTGGTCTGTGTCTGTGCCCCGCGAGGCCCTGCGTGAGCAAGGCCGTCCTCCTACGTGTGCACGCACCGTGTGTCCGTGCACGCGTGCCCGTGCAGACAGGACGCGCTTCCCGTGTGCTCTGGCGACCGCGTCTGCGGGCCAGAGGGTGACATTTCCCGGAGCGGAAGAGGCGGCGTCACTTTGCCATCGTGCTGGGGCGGGAGGAGGCCGCGGAGGAGGCTCCGGTTTGATGGATAATGGAAAGGCTCCTTCGTAGTCGTCGATTATTTCAGCCTCTTCTTCAAGGGCTTAGACGCAGACGTGAGGTCGTGGAGCGGGTTGGAGGATGCGGGACCGTGAACAGAGCCGGACCGTGGTGAATCCCTCCCCTCCCCCGTCCCTCACCACCACATCCCGCAGAGGCATGGGGAGGGGCGTGCGTTCGGTGCATTTGTTGTCTCAAATACGTCAGCTCCTGCGAGAAATTTCCTTTCTAAAGATGCCTCTTCCGTGGAGAGACGGAGAAGGGATACCTGCTTTCCAATGTCCTCGGCCTGAAAGCGACACTCGGCGCTTGCGTGTCGACCCCTTGGGGACGGCTTGTCCCGGGCCCCACTGGCCGGGCAGGCCCTCTCTGGCAGGCTCTGCCCGGAGCCGGCTCCCCCTGGGGACGGGGCCTTCACTGGGTGGCTGGCCGTCTTTATCAGACCACATTCCTCTGTGTGACGACCACAACAGGTCCATGTTTTGATCCGTTTAGCGAAAGTCACTCTCCAAACCATGACCATTGATACGGCTTCAGCGCTCACAGCAGGTGGGAGGAAAATCCACAATATAAAGATGTATTAGGATTCTCCAGAAGAACATAACCAACGGGATGTTGGTATTATTCTGGGTAGAACTTTTTTGATCATATTTATAGAACTCCGTTGCGATGGTTGCTTTTATGTGTCAACTTCGGTAGACCATAGGACCCAGATAATCCAGTCAAACACTAGTTTCGATGTTGATGAGAAGGTTTTTTTTTTAATATGAGATTAAGATTTAAATCGGTAGGATTCGAGTAAAGCAGATCACCCTTCATAATGTGGGTGGGCCTCGTCCAATCAGTTGAAGGCCTCCCCAATACCAACTGATGCCCCGCCCCGCACATGACTGAGATAAGCGTCTTCCTTACATTGTATTATAAAAGATTCTACGTTGCACAAGATGCCAACTAGGAATCAGATTGTATAGCTATCGTTAGAAAACTTTTTGAAAGATTTAATGCAACATCTTGTGATTGCTTGCTTACATATCAATAACGGAAATAGAATCATGCATAATTATAGGTATTAATTTTTTTAAAAAAAGGGTAAAGGAGGCCTGAGCTGGTCGCTAGATTATTTGTAACAATACTGTGGAAAGACTAATAACCATGGGGTCGAAAAAACTTGGGAGATTAATTTTATAAATAATAAATTCTTCAGAGTTTTTTTAGCACCGTTTTTTTTTTTTAAAGCAAACTCAATCTATTTTTAAAATCACTAACCTGTACGAAATGAACACCATAGAGAGCCACGGCATTCTGTGTTACAGCATTTGAGGGGGCGTCCCCCTGGTCCTCGGGGACCCCGAGCTGCCTCTGGCCACTGCCGTCCTGGGGCCCCATTGTCCTGGTTACACGTAGGGGTCCTAGCTTGACGGCAGCACAGACGTGTCGCCGTAGTCGCCGGCCTGCAGAGAAGGGCCACCTCATGGCTCCTCGGGGACGCTGGCCCACCCAGGTTCGCTTCCCGCGGTGAATCACCGAATGCCTTCGATCTGTACATCGTGAGATTTGTCACCTGTGTCAGCAAATTGCATGGGAAAAATAGCACATAGGCGATGTTAAGTTATTAAACTGTACGTGAGGACGAATTATCACTCGGAGGGAAACTGTGATAAGCTAAAGATGTACGATATAGACCCCGAAGCAGCCACCAAGATCAAAAGATAGAGTCGGCTACTAAGCCAACAAAGGAAATAAATGATGTCGTAAGAAATTCCCAGTTCATTCAAAATAAGGCGGAAAAAAATGGAAAAAGGGAACAAATTAAAAATGAGACAGAGAGAAAAATAGCGAGATTTCGTTACCCATGGGAATGTCTCCCGTCCATTGTTCTGTGAGGTCGCGTTTCATTGCTTCGTAGGGTCTTCACAGGGTAATCTTTTTCTGGTTTAAGCGACTAATATTTTATCTCAATCTGTTCTTCGTCTTCGACTTTTTAATGAAGTGTATTTTTTTACAGCCGGCACCGCCAGCGTTCTGTCTTGCGAAATTCGTTTTTCCCCCACGTCTGGATTTTTATGCGGCTTCTAGGGTTTTTTTCTTATTTTACAAGAACTCTCCTGCCCCACAATTCTGACATTATTTTCCCATGCATTTCTCGAACATTCGTAGTTTTTGCCTTTAATATTTAGGTAACGGATCCCAAACTTCTTTTTCTATACGGTCTGAAGTAAGGCTCTAAGTTTATCTTTTTCAGATGGATGCCACGTCTCCGACACCGTTTTTTTGAGTATTAAACATTTTCCCTCACATTCGATGCGTTTCTCCCGCCCCTCGCTGCTATGGGCATGGGTCTGTCCATTAAACTCTGCTTCGCGAATCTCTCGGTCCAGTTCTAAGCCGGCCCTGTGACATTTTAATGACCCTGGCTTTATAATAAGTCACCCTTCTATTTTTCCATAATTTTCTTGGCTACCGTGCATTTTACCTTCAGCGAATTTTCGAATCAGGTTGTTAAGTTCTAGACCGATAACGATTTTGATTATATTGACTTTACGGATTGACGTGTGGGCAGGTAATACTGTGGGGGTGTGTTTTCTGTTACGGTTTCTGGAAGATGTTGGCCGTCGAGCTGTCTCTAGTTACGACACACGGCGTGACCGTTTGCACCGGATCGAGTCACGTGTCCATCGGATCTTTCGAGAGGGCTTTTCTGCAGGAATTTTCTTCTCTGAGGTTCGTGATCGTCTCTCTTCTCGTGTTTCTCGGCCTTCCTGAGTGCGTCCTACCTGGAGCAGGGAGATAGTTCACCTGCCGTGGGCAGAAAAATGGATGCTGGAGAATTCTTAACGTCCTCCAACGTTTCCGTCCCTTTTTCTTTCCTTTCTGGGGTATTTCTTCTGTTTTAGACCTACTTCCTCCCGTTTTCTGGAGGCCCCTTCGGGCCTTAGCCGCGTCCCCTCTGTCGGACTCGGCAGCCGTGTCATTTTGGAGGGACATCTGCCTCGTTGGCCAGTCGCTCCTTTCTCGCGGCGAAGCGGCCGCGGCCTCCTTCGCGGACACTCGTGGGCGCTCGGTTGACCAGGCGCCCTCACCCCGTGTTGTCACCTCCCCTCGCAGGTCACTTGGTCTCTTTACTCACCTCATTCCTTCTTCGTGATGTTGGCGGAGGTCAGGTTTCCAGCGCCAGGCCGCGTGTCTGCCTCCCGCCGGCCACATGGGAAGATCCAGGCTGTCACTTCTGCCTAGCTTCCCGGCTGACGCGCACAGAGCGGGTGTCAGACCTTCGGTGCTGGGCCCTTTTCAGAGACCTCAGCACTCAGTTCTCATGACACCCTCGGGGAGACCTCTCAGATCCCGCCCGAAGGCCCAGGACGGGCAGGTGGCCAGCGAGCGCGCCAGCCCAGGGCGGCAGGCACCGGGGGACCCTCCCCGGGTCGCTGGAGCACCCTGCCCTTTCGAGACCTTGGACGTGAACAGCAGATCTCTCTGTTTTGGCTCACTGAGCCGCGAACTCGGCTTCCTGAGCAACTCGGACCGTCTGCAGCGACGCACGTCCGTGTCCGATTCATTATACCTCACGGTTTCCTTGTCTAGTAGAAGCTGATAGATGAAGGAAGGTTTGTCTCTTTCCCATTTCCTTTTCTCAGAAGAAGCGGGCTCGTGGTTTTGTCTTCATTACGGCGGGCATTTGGCATTCGTAAGCGGCGGGGAGCATCTGGCCCCGTGACCCTAAGAGTGTGGCACCAAGACCCACGGTCACACGCCTCCCCCGCCCAGGGCACTGGTGGGAAAGCTCGGTCCCAGGAGCGGTGGCGGGAGGCGCTGAGAACGATGCCAACCCCAGCGTGCCCAGCCCAGGGAGACCAGCCCTGCATATTTACACTCAAGTACAAATGACTCGTTTTTATCACGGTATCATGTTTATTGGAAACCTACAGACAGCTGATGAAAAACAATAGCTGTGCCTCTCCATTCCGCTCAGATCTGCTGTTCTGTTTTTCCCAATGCGGTGTTTAGTGCAACGTGCCGCCGACGCCAAGGCCTCGGGACCGCGTGGTGAACGAACTTCTGCTCTGTTTTCTCTCTGCATCGCTATGCCGACCATCTTCCGACGTGAGAAAGCTTGAAACCTTACGCCGCATGTATTAAGTTCTTTAAAAAGTGCCCCTGAGTTTTCTGTACTAACGGAAGTGTGTCCTGCTGGGCCCATCAGAATTTCAGGCCTGGTCTCTGAAAATTCGTGTACTTAGCCCTATTTTGTGGGGAGCGAGGGGGATGTACGAGTCACTTTAACTTTCAACACGAGTCGTAGAGAGCCTGGAGGGCTTTCTTTCAAGCTGGTGCATTGAGCGCAGATAGAACTTTAATAGGCTATTTACATATAGGTGAGCTAAAGGTTAATGTATTGAATGTAAATGTATTTGGCAGCGTTATTTATTCAGAGGAGTCGTTGTAAAGCCACGTCGGGGTGTCTTACGGCCGAGATCACGGCCTCGCATCCAGAGCACCCGCTTTTTCTCGCTCACGTGGAAGGGGAGAGCTTCGTGCGTTCGATCCTGAGGACCAGGCACAC